GCAGAGAACTAGACAAGAAGTGGAGCAGCCCGGACACAAACCAGTACACATATGGCACCTCAGGTGGAGGCTAATCTTATTATGCCACAGCGCTGGCCCCTCAGGCCATCTAAATGGAGAAACAGCATTTCTCCAATGCACAAGACAACAAACGTTGAACTGAGATGCCTGGAGCTGAAGAAGGAGACTGAATTCCCTGTGGGAAATGGATGATTTTTCAGATCCTGCAGGAAGCCTGTTGATTCACTGGGAGAAGCGATTTGGAGCTTCAGAGGCCGCATCTTCAGACATTGCTGCTTTAGGTGGATAAACTATGTTCCTGGAAATTCTGTGTCAGGGCTCTCAGCATCTCTCCTCTGCAACACGAGTACTGTCTGGCCAGCTGTAACTTACACTGTCTTCCATATATGTAATTACAAAGTGGAATGCCAGGTACTGGAAAGCGTAAGATAAAGCAATAAAGCCAGAAGTCCCATCACATCTACTCTGTTTTTCTTTTCTATACTTCATAAAGTTCTAGGAATATTTTAGAGTTTCTTTCATATGTTGTATTCAAAACCAAAAAACGTTTTAAACTTTCTACCTGAAATTTAAAATTCAATACAAATCTTTCACTGGTTTAAAGTATCAGGGAGGCAGGTCCTGGTCACCCCCATTTCAGTCCTTACTTGGGGACTTAACGCACTCAGAAATTTGAATTCAATTTACGGCATTCTCATGAAAAAGAGCGTGGGTTTCTGAGCCGGGTGATGGGGGTGACATTGAATACACGATTGTGTAGCACTTTAAAGAAGTTTCTTTTTATTAGCTACTTCATAATCACATTAACTTAGGCTGAAAATTTGAACTAATTCTTTCCCTAGAGGCCTGCATGGTAATAATTGTAGAAATCTGTGAAAAAGGATAAATACAATTCAATAATTATATTGATAAATAAAATGAAAATCAACTAATTGTGTCATTCACTCAGATGCTCGCCTCGGCTGTTGCCGGCTTTCTGCTTCACTGGCTGCTAAACTTTTTCTGTCACACTTCAATAAATTTAATTGTGCAGAATAAATGAGCTAATTTTTGAAGTCACAGGCTCTGTTTGCAAGATAAGGGTGGTGATTTATTGACCTCTCCCAGCTCTGTAAGAGCGTCACCCTCCTTCTCTACTGACAACTTGGCATCCAATGTCCCATCCCCGCTCTGTTCAGTCTCCCTCCTGCTCCTGCTGTGTCCTCTCCCAGCCTCCCCCTGCCTCTCCCATCGTCTTTCTTTAAAATTGCTTGCTGCCCATCTTAACAGTCCAGCAGGTTCTCCCTTCCCATTGGCTGCTGAAGAAAATTCTGAGGTTTTGTAGTATTTCTTCATCGGGTGGTTATGTTTCAATTTCTGCAGCTAGCAGAACCCACCATTCAGAAGTGGTGCCCCAGATTGTGAACATGTACCTCTCAACACGCCAAAGCGAGACCCAGCCCATCTGTAGATGTGACATTGACAATGGGAGACAACATCTCTTACGCTGACAATAGTTTCTTGGGACAGGCACACTGAGGGTGCAACCAATCAATTTCTGATGAAACACAGTTTTTAAAAGCCAGGCTGCTTCCTGCATGCTAAGGTGAGATATGATAATTTAAAATATAACCATTCAAAATGCTGAGACTTATTTGAATAAGCAAAATACAGTCTGTAATATAGAGGATATGCCTTAAGCCAAATGCCTGAGGATCTGAAGTAGCTTTTACATATCATCTCTCCTGCCTTGTGACCAGCTTATTTTTTTTAAAGATTTATTTTATATTATTTGAAAGACAGAGTTACAGAGAGTTAGAGAGACAGAGGTCATCCATCCACTGGTTCACTCCCCAGATGGCCACAATGGCTGGAGCTGCGCCAATCCAAAGCCAGGAACCAAGAGCCAGGAGCTTCTTCTGGGTCTCCCATGCAGGTGCAGAGGCCCAAGGACTTGGGCCATCTTCTGCTTTCCCAGGCCACAGCAGAGAGCTGGGTCAGAAGAGGAGCACCTGGGACTAGAACCAGCACCCACCCATATGGGATGATAGCACTTCAGGCCAGGGTTTTAACCTGCTGCGCCACAGCACCGGCCCCATGTCCAGCTTATATTAATGATTTATTATTTCACATATTAGCCCGATACTTTTTTAAAGATATATTTATCTATCTAAAAGGCAGAGTTACAGAGAGGGAGAGATAGATAGACAGAGATTCCATGCTCTGGTTCACTCCCCAAATGGCTGCGACAGGGCTGGGCCAGAATGAAGCCAGGAGCCAGGGATTTCCTCTGTGTCTCCCACATGGGTACAGGGGCCCAAGCACTTGGGTCATCCTCTGCTGTCCTCCCAGTGCACCAGCATGGAGCTGGATCAGAAGTGGAGCAGCCAAGACTCGAACCAGCATCCATATGGGATGCTGACATTGCAGATGGCAGCATTACCTGCTGCACCACAATGCCAGCCCCTAGCCCCATACTTTTAATACACAGCAAAGAGCTTATGTCATTTATACTTTCCTACAGTATTCAGCTTCTAGTGCAATGCCTAGAATTAGTAGATTTCAAGCTTGGGAATCACTGCTATAGCAGATTTCTTTGGAATGCCTGTACTTAGTTTTGTCTATTAAAAGTTGAGCTTGCAGTATCTTCATGCCATCTTAACATAGAAACACCATCTCTCTGATGAACAAGACAAAAACATTTAACTGAGAGCCCTGGAGGTAGAAAAGTATACTGAGTTCCTTGTAGAAGTCCCTTTAAAATAAAATTTATTTATGTATTTATTTGAAAAGCAGAGTTACAGAGAGAGAGAGAGAGAGAGAGAATCTTCCACCTGCTGATTCACTCCCCAAATGCCCACCACAGGCCAGGGCTGAGCCAGGCTGAAGCCAGGATCTTGGAACTCCATCTGGGTCTCCCACATAGGTACAGGGGCCCAAACACTTGGGTCTCCTGCTGCTGCTTTCCCAGGCACATTAGCAGGGAGCTGGATTGAAAGTGGAGCAGCCAGGACTTGAAGTAGTATCCATATGGGATGCCAGCATCATAGATTACAATTTAACCTGCTGTACCATAGCTGCAGCCCCAATAAATAATTCATGATAGTACACAGTAATTTACTGATGGATGGCCCTCACTGGTATAAAAGCCATCATGTTAAAGGAATACATGTGGATATATTTCAGTCGCATGCAATTTATGGTGCCAATTTAGGGTTTAGAAGAATCTGCTGAAAGGAGAGCAGAAAAGTCACTCTATTTTTAATAGAGATTCAGCAAATAGAGATTTGCTGGAAACTGCAAATCATCACCAGGCATCTGCTAAGGTTTGAATGTGCTTTGTCCTCCACAAAGTTTCAAAGTGGTAAGAACTCAGTCCCAATGTAATAGTATGGAGGGGTGTTGGAACCTTTAAGATGTGGGTCATGGCAGGAAACTAGGTCACAGGGTGCTCAGCTCCTGGAAACAGTTGTTAAAAGGTGAGGCTACCCATCAGTTTGGCTTTCTCTGTATGTACCACACACATTCCCACCTTATGATGCCAGAGCATGAAAAACTTGTCAGGTGTGGCCATACGAGCATGGATTCTCAGCCTCTGAAGTCATGAACCAAGATAAATCTCTTTTCCTTATTAAGGACCAGCCTCAGGTATTTTGTTATCATAACATGAAATAGACCAAGACAGCATCTAAATTTGTAAATAAAGAAAATAGGGCCTGTAGCATTGTCTAGTCAAACGGCTACTGAAGAAGTCCCACAGATAGGCTCCCAACAGGTCTGTCAAAAAGCAGCCCAGAGTAGGTTCTGTGGTCTACCTCTCTTGGCATCAAGAAAAGGGGGAGGTTCTTTGTACCATGGTTTCACTCCCATGATTAGGGCAGTGCAGAGTTCTGATGTCATTTGTTCTCATCTAATTCTGCCTCAAGGCAGTTTTCAATGAGGTAAGTAAAAATGATGTGTGGGACAATTACTTGGCTCTCAGGAACATAAAAATAAATAAAAATGTATTATGATTTTTTTTACTTCACATGCACTTCTCTCCTTTTATATTCTGTTTTAAAAAATTTGGAAAGCAGAGTTACAGAAAGGGGGGAGGCAGGAAGGAGAGAAAAAAAGAGAGAAAGAGAGAGAGACAGAAAGAGAGAGAGACAGAAAGAGAGAGAGAGAGAGCCCTTCCACCTGCTGGTTCACTCCCCAAATGACCGCAATGGCTGGGGCTGCACCAGGCTGGAGCCAAGAGCCAGGAACTTCATCCATTCTCCCACATCAGTGGCAGGGGCCCAAACCTTGGTCCATCTTCTGCTGCTTTCCCAGGCACTTTAGAAGAGAGCTAGATGAGAAGTGGAACATCTTGGGCTGCCCATATGTGATGCTGGAGCTGCAAGCAGCAGTTTAACCCACTGTGCTGCAGCACCAGCCCCCAAAATCTCCTTTTAGTTTCAAATCTTGTGCTAACCTGTCTTTTCTCCTCCAAATCAGTGTGATCTCTTTGAAGCTGAGGTCTTGGCTTGGGTAATGGAGGAGCTGGCTGAAGAGCTCTCTCCGAGGACCTAAGGTGATGGCATTGTCCAGAGTTTCTAGGTGTTTGCCTGCAGGAAGTCATACAGTCAGTGACAACCAGCACGGACTCATCAGGTTGGGGAAGATCTTCCATGCACTGGAGGAGGTTCTTGACGCTGTCGTTATCATGGCTATTGCCACACCAGTCATCTGATGACACCACCTTTGAAGAGCCATTGAGTAGGTATTAGTTTTTAGTTACTTGCTGTCTCCATAAAGGGTAGAGGTAATCCCTTCTTTTATTGACCATCTTCCATTTTCTTCCTGTGAAAATAGCCACTGCAAAGCAGAGATGGAAGAACCACTAGGTCTTTTCTACACGGCTTTGCTCATTGCTGCCAAAGTGTTTATTGAATCTCTAACTAAAACCACTTGTGCTCTTGAACTTTCCTCGTGGAAAAAAAAAAAACATAAGCAATTATTGTTTCTTTCTCAGAGGCACACAAAGAGGGATTACCACAGGAAATGCAAAGAGGCTTGGAAGATGAGCGTGCGTTGAGATAGAAGCCGGAAGCCCACTTAGCTAACAGCCTCCACGGGACCTGGCACAGACACGGGCAAATGACAGTTAAACACTACAGAGCCCCCTTGTGAAAGGGAGAATTTGGCATTCATTCCCTCAGCCCCGAGTGCCTGGGAATTCTGCAAACCGTTGCCTGTGGCAGTGACACTGATTTGTATCTGGTATGAACTTCAATGAAAACATGAATTGAACTCATTACTTGAGGAAGGAAACTGCCAAATTTAACAGGATGAAATTCCAGCAGGGTGTAAGGTTTTATGGGGCTGCAGTGGAATACCTCATAGGAAGGTTTCCAGTTCATAAAACACTTTGAAAACATGCTCAGCCCTTTTAAGTTGAGGGGACATTATCATTTCTATCTAAGGCATTTCTCTGCAAATTGAACTCAAATATCCTTTGGGCTGACTACGCAGAGAACAGAAGAAAGGAGTGCAAGAAACTTGGACTAAAGATTACCTCCCTGAAAGGTTCTCTTCAGGAGGATTTAGGTGACATCGGAAAACAGCACGTCAGTGGACTGCAGCCAGCTCCATATGGCTTGCCTTGGTTTTCACAGGTATTTAATTAATTCAACAAATATTTATTGAGTTTGTGTCAGACGTAGGGTACTGTTCTGGGTATTGGAGGGAGGTACAGTGGTTGGTTCAATGTATCCACTCCCATGACGTAAACGTCTTAGAAGGAAAAACAAACAATAAATAAATGAACAGAAGATGTAAAAGAGTCAGGCAATGAGCACTGCTACTAAGAAGGAAGGGACAGAAGATGATGGGACTGTGGGATGACCTATTAGATGGTGCACTGCACAAAGACACTCTGGGGACATTTGGACGTTTGGACAGAAGCTCAAATGAAACGACCTACTGTTGAATCCAGAAGACAGACCTACATGTTGGATCCGGGAGATAATAAACTAGTAAAAGGGCTAGAAAGCTAGTTAAGTTGAAAGATACCCAGTTTAAAAAAATCCTAAAACTTTTTTCCCAGAACGGCACTTCTAGTCACCTTTTATATAGAGTTTTGGATATTTTCTTGGGATTTTTTGGCATGTGTACTGTGGTAACTAATACGTTCTCTGAAGTGTTGGGTGTCTGACTTTGTTTCATTTGATAGCAAGTAACAGAAGCTGCAGAGTTTGACATCTAGAAATGTAAAGGTATTGTATACCTTTCATTCTGGGCAGAAAATTGCAGAAAACAAGTAGGTAGGAATCCAAGAAAAACATCACCTAAGTGAGTTCTCCTTTTGGTTTTCTATGTGTATCTTTCCATTGCTTTCACAGCAGCTCTGCTAAAAAAGTATCTTTGCAAACTTCATTTCGTTTTCCTGCAACAGATGCAATAAGTCATGGTAAAACGTTTTCCTCTTCTGTCAGGTGCAAACTTCACATTTGGCAGGTATGAAATCTTTGACATATTCTGATAAGCAATGGAGATTTTAACTTGGCCAACATCAACATACACACCAACAATTACCCCACACATGCAACACTTGCACAGAACAAATTGATTATGAGGATGTTTGCCAGCCTGACTGCAAATGGTTTGTTTAGAATTATAGAATGAGAAAAATACACAGTAAATACTAACACCATGATGATGATTGACTTTTGTCCTCAAACTATTGATTAACTTAGATAGCAAGATCATACCACATGCTGAAAATATTTCTATGTCTTGGAAGTATTTCTCATCTAAACTAAACCTCACTCTTATTTCTAAAATGAGAATTATTTGAGGGAAGTGATAGCTCCGTGGTTAAGACATGACTTGAATGAATGGTTTGCATCCCCTATCAAAGTGCCTGGGTTCCCATAGAAAGAAATAGTGATAACTCAAGCACTTGGGTCCCACCCAACTGTCTGGAAGAGATCTGCCCAGCTTACTTCCAGGTACAAATATTCTCCTGAGCAACTGCCCCAACTTCTCTAACCCTCAATTTCATCTTCTGCAAAATGGGTCCACTTCAGTGAATTATTTTGGGTTATATTTATAAAGCATTTATTCAAATAGCTAACACTCAATAAGGGTTGCAATGAAATAATTCCAAATATTTTATAACAAATATTTAAATTTCACAATTAATGTAATTTGCTTCTTGAACAGTTAACATGGGCTATGGTGATTATTCAATATCTTCTCAGAAACACTGAGCAGAACTCCTGAATAATAACCATCACTATCACTTTGAAGATGTCTAACCTACCCTTTCCCCTGAGACCATCTTTTAATATCGATCTATCTACCTATATCAATTTGTCTGTCATCTGTCTATTTGAGATGCAGAAAGACAGAGACAGACAGAGTGACCCCATCTGCTGGTTTACTTTCCAAAGACTCTAGAGAGCCAGGATGAGCTAGGACATAGTCAGGAGCCAAGAAATGGAATTTAATGATAGTGTCCCCCTTAGAATTAAATCATCTCAACTGACTTGATGTGAATTTTGTCTTTTAAATAAAAAAGTACAAAATCTACTTTCTGAGTTGGCTACAAGGCCCTGATTAAAGCAAACAATGATCATTTCCCGAAGTAGGAAAGAACAGCATAGTCTGAAACATGACTTGGAAGAAAATCCCAAATTCTTTACTTGTTTCATTCTACAAGGATGAAAGTAGTATTCTGAGGGATGGTGATAGTAGGGAGTTAATCTGATTCCACTTTGGAATCTTCAATTGACTGTGCATAGGCATGTATATAAGCACATCACACAAACAACCTTCCTGGAATCTGAGTGGAATTTATCTAAGTATCTACATCCCTGGGAGTCTGTAGATTGTAAATGTTGTTTAAAGAGAAAGAAGAATTCTCAGGTCAGTGATTGTGATGTCAGCTAGTGTTGAGAAGATAAAAATAAGTACAATGATGATCTGTTTTGAGAATTATAACCTGTTAAATTCTAATAATTTATAATAGCCCTTTTTTTTTAAAGATGACTAGAAGAGTTGGATTTATTGGAAAGCAAAAATATGGTGCACACTCAGATGTGAGTACAGGCAACCTCAAGAGAGACATTTACCCTTAGCCAGGCATCCTTTTACACGGTAGGGGTGGGGTCTGAGGCAGGGTCTTATTGAAGATTCAAAGAGGACAGGATTTGGGGTGGAGCTGCAGCACACATGGTAGTCTCCAGGAAGATGTCATGGTATCTGGAGTGTGAAGAAAAGTGAGGCTCAGCTGCTTGATAAAGGATGGGGGTGCCAAGCCTTCAGCCTTATTGAGTTAGCTTGGAGGATGATGGGATTTGGACAATGCACGTAGTTGGATGTTGGCAGTTCTTAGCTCCTTGCCCCTTCCTGACTCCTGCCTTGCCTACATCATTCTTCTCTCAGAGACTTTTGCCACTCATTACTTTTTTCTCAATGTATTCATGCAGAAGAATGCTACTACTATCTCTAAGTAGACTTATAATTATACCAAACCAACACAGTAATTTGCTGAGTACTTACCATGTGTCACAGACACATAATAGTCACTTTAACCTACAACTATTTAATTTAATACTTTCACCAACCCAGAAACACAGTATTACTATCTCTGTATGTAAAAATTCTGAAGGCCCAAAATGCTTAAGTAGCTCAGAGAAGATCAATTAAATAGTCAGACAAAAACCCTGTCTATGAACCAGGTCTTCTGATGTACAAATGTTATAGTCAACATACTGCCTTCCACATAAGAATTTGTAAGTATAATTTAATCATCATGCCTAGTGCTTTCTTCATTATTCCTTTAACATATTAAGTATCAAGAGCTCAGCTGCCATTGGTCAATGGAAGCTTTAAGATTTAAGGTTTATTTGATCCATGTATAAGGCCTTTGCTCAGTAACCTTTTGTTGAATAAATATTAGGAAAATAATTGTTCAATGAATTATTACTTAAGCATCTATAATTAACTATCCAATGCCCAAATCTCTCAATATTCGATGTCTATTTTTTAAAGATTCATTTATTTATTTGAAAGGTATATAGAGAGAAAAGGTGAGAGAGAGAGAGCTTCCATCAGCTGATTTACTCCCCAAATGGCTGCAATAGCTGGAGCTGGGCCAATACAAAGCCCGGAACCAGGAGCTTCTTCCAGTTGTCCCACGTGGGTACAGGGGCCCAAGCACTTGGGCCATCTTCTGCTGCTTTCCCAGGAGTATCAGCAGGAAGCTGGATGGGAAGTGTAGCAGCCAGGATTTGAACTGGCACTCATGCAGGATGCCAGCACTGCAAGCTACCCCACAGCACTGGCTCCATCCTTCAGTATTTATTAAAGCTAAGCGGCAGTGAGAGCTTAAAATTAGCACCCAAGCAGAGCTTCTCCACCCCCAGAGTGCAAATCTTCCTACCAGTTGTCCATTCTTTGTAAGGACAGGTTATGTAATTTGCAAGGCTTAGTGCCCACATGTGGGGCTCCTTGCCCAAAAAGTCCCAAGACTTTTCAGGCAGCAAGGGCAGAGTTTTAAACCGAGGTTTGGATCTTTCTGAGCAAGCGGCCCCTTGCAATTACACTGGTTGCAGGCACATGTACAACACCACTTCCATCTGAGGAGGGGGCTGTTCACTTTCGTACACTCCAAATGTACTCCAAAGAAGTAGAGCTTGGTGAAGCTCATTGATTCAGCATCACCAATTAAAAAAAAAGCTAAAAGAGAGCATATAAAAGCAGTTTAGCAAGAAATGAAAACCAACTGGAAGTCTGGAATCAGATTAATCTGCTAGAGATAGATGAAGAAAGCAGACTTGCTCTTCTTTTCGTGACCTTTGAGGGCAATGAAGAAGGTGCTGCTACAAACACCTCGCTGATTGATTCTTTTCTTTTTTTTAGATTAATTTATTTGAAAGGCAGAGTTACAGAGAGAGAGGGACACACACACATACACACACACACACGCGCGCACAGATTCCATCCTCTGCTTCACTCCCCAAATGGCCACAACTGTCAGGTCTGGACTAGGCTAAAGCCAGGAGCTAGGAGCCTCTTCCAGGTCTCCCACATGGGAGGCAGGGGCCCAAGCTCTTGGGCTGTCTTCTGCTACTTTCCCCAGGCTATTATCCAGGAGCTGGACCAGAAGTAGAGCAGCCATGATTCAAATCAGTGTCCACATGGGATGCCGGCATTTCAGGTGACAGCTTAACGAGCTATGCCACAAGGCTAGCCCCAGAGTAAATTATTATCTTTGTTAGTGTTTGTTGCTTACCTCCTCTCTTATTCCCAGAGATGAGGCTGGCATTCCTGCATTATCTATCCCTGGATAGATAATGTCTACAATTGAACTTTTTGGGGTTTTATGGTAATGAATCTTTATCATTGTTTTAATTAAGACAAATCATCTAGATTTAGGAGACGGGGACTGTGTCTTTCCTATTCATTGTTATTTTCCCAGCACCAAGTACACACCTGCCATATAATAAGTGCTCAATAAACATTCACTGAATGACTAAAACATTGAATTGTTGAAAAGAGGTGGAAGGGGAAGTAGTTAAGTTTGTCTCTCTGACAAAAAAGTATGGCAGTGAATAAAATGGTAGAAGGGTTATCTCTAGTCACAGAACTCTGCAAAACACCAAAGCCG